ATTACGAAATTTGGCAGATGGACGTCAAGACGGCTTTCCTTAACGGGAACCTCAAAGAGGATGTTTTTATGACACAGCCTGACGGTTTTCAAATTGCTGGTCAGTCTGCCAAAGTTTGTAAGCTGCAACGTTCAATCTACGGATTGAAACAAGCATCTCGGAGTTGGTACATACGTTTCGACGAAACCATTTCCAGTTTCTGTTTCGAGAAGAACTCTGATGAATCTTGTGTATACAAGAAGGTCAGTGGGAGTGTAATAGTATTCCTAATATTATATGTCGACGACATATTATTAATGGGTAACGATATTCCCGCTCTCACTTCTGTAAAGACGTGGTTGAGCGAGAACTTCTCCGTGAAAGACTTAGGGGATGCTAGTTATGTCCTTGGCATAAGAATCTACCGAGATAGATCAAGAAAGTTAATAGGTCTGAATCAAAGTACATATATAGATAAAATCCTTGATCGATTTAGCATGTCTAACTCAAAGAAAGGATCTTTACCTATGACACCTGGCACGGTTCTTTCCAAGAACCAGAGTCCTTCTACTCTTGAGCAGAAGGAACTCATGATGAAGGTTCCATACGCCTCTGCGATTGGATCCATCATGTATGCCATGATATGTACTAGACCTGATGTCTCAATCGCTTTAAGCGTGACCAGCAGATACCAGGGAAGTCCAGGAGAAGCACACTGGACAGCGGTCAAGAAAATCCTCAAGTATCTTCGCAATACTAAGGATGCATTCCTGGTATACGGTGGTGAGGAAGAGCTAAAGGTGGTCGGTTACACTGATGCTAGCTTCCAAACTGACAGAGACGATTCAAAATCACAAGCAGGATATTTGTTTTGCATGAATGGCGGAGCTTTTAGTTGGAAGAGCTTTAAGGAGGATACAACCGCCGATTCGACTACAGAGGCTGAGTAAATAGCTGCCGCCGAGGCAGCAAAAGAAGCTGTTTGGATCAAGAAGTTCATTACTGAACTTGGAGTGGTTCCTAGTATTAATGACTCTATCTCGTTGTTTTGCGACAACACTGGGGCCATTGCACAGGCAAAGGAACCGCGATCTCACCAGAAAACCAAACACATTGTACGACGCTATCACATCATACGAGAAATCGTAGATAGAGGAGATGTGATGATTTGCAAAGTAGATACTGACGACAACATAGTCGATCCCTTGACCAAGCCTTTAGGAAAGCTAAAGCATGAGGGTCACACTAGGTCCATGGGCATTCGACCGATGCCAGATTGGCCATAGTGCAAGTGGGA